CTTTGTTAGTGTTTTTGGTTTGGGGGAAAAGCCAAGCAGACATTCATAAATTCTTGAGGATCTGGATTATATATTTCATTACTCCACGGTGAAAACACAGAGATCACTAAGAAGAGTAAAAGGCTGAAGAAGGGGTCCTCAAGTATAAAGCCTTGTTATATCCTGAAGAGACTATCAATGGCCCTAGTTGACATCGGGATTAACAGAGATTACTGGTTTCCTACCTTTAGAGAAACTCAAGAAACTTTCTCCCCTCTCTTCACTCCTTGAAGAGGAGAGAACCTAGGACTCATATAGGCCATCTTTCTACCAGGTAGTGCTTTATCAGGAGTAGGATAAATACATTAATTTGGGGGCCAACTTTCCCTTTTGGGAGGTTGGCTTTACTACGCCTTACTTTTTCTTAGATCTTCTTGTCTAACTGTCAAGGTTCTACTGTGGGCAAAAGGAAAAGGCCCATCCCAAAAAATTCCTTTTGGCTCTTGTAGCTTACATAATGCACTGTGACAAGATAGAGTTTCCGTACGTAAGTCTGTCTTGAATATCAGTGTGATTTTTGTTCAGAGTATCCCCTCTGGATATCTTTCTCCAGATCTCGTGACTTCCATTTCTATTAATTATGTTTGGCTAGTTTCTCAAATTCAAATGATTAACAGAAAAGATTAAATCAGCTCTCATAAATTGCAAAAGCAAAATTTTTTGAAGTTAAGAGATTTAAATTCTGAATTTTCTTCTTATCACTTCATCCTTTCTTCCTTCTTTGCTTCACTGGTTGCTTACTAGTTAAAGGATTATGATAATCGAGTCAGTAAACTAGACTCCCTGCAGGAGTTATAGAAAAGGAAATTTTTCCCAGTTTAATGTACTCTGTAATGCCACTGTACATGGACAATGCAATCACAGTTTTAAAATAGTTACAAATTGATAAATACGATGTATTTAAAAGTTTCTATCAAAGGCCAATATTCATTTAGTTCAAAGCTCTCCATGTAGAAATATTTCTAACACCAGTTAAAATGAAACAAATTGACCAAAGGAAGATTTTCTCTACTTTTTAATTAATGTGTTTACTTATATTCTACCTTTTTCAAAGCAGATTTAAGAAGGCTCTGCAGATGACTTAACTCCTTTGCAGTGAAATGCATGAATATACAATATTGTTTTCCAGGCTTGAGTACAAAGGTGATATATAAAACTGAATACAAAAATTGAAACAAGATTGTTACATGGCTATTTAGATATGCTGTATTTATCTAATTAATTGTTAGGGAGAAATACTCTGAGTCAAAAATGAAGAAATAAACCTAATCCAACATTTTGTCTTTTTGGTAGATTTTTCTCAAATATGTTCTGCACAGGAATGTCTGGCTCTCAGATTTCTCAAGAGGAAATGGATTTCATAGCAGCCCTAAATAACTCATTCTAATACTTAAAAACCAACTGTCAGAAAATATTGGTTAAGCAAATTTGAAATCCATTCTGCTGCTCTCTCAGTTCAGTTCAGACTGAACTACGGAGAGACAAAACAACAGGACTGTACTGTTCATATAAAAATACTTGTTATAGGGCTTCCCTGATGGCGCAGTGGTTGAGAATCTGCCTGCCAATGCAGGGGACACAGGTTTGAGCCCTGGTCTGGGAAGATCCCACATGCCGCAGAGCAACCAGGCCCGTGAGCCACAACTACTGAGCTTGCGCGTTTGGAGCCTGTGCTCCGCAACAAGAGAGGCCGCAACAGTGAGAGGCCCGCGCACCACGATGAAGAGTGGCCCCCGCCTGCCGCAACTAGAGAAAGCCCTCGCACAGAAACGAAGACCCAACACGGCCACAAATAAATTAATTAATTAATTAAAATAAAAAATAATACTTGTTATATGCATGTATGCTGTACAAGTAATATAATTCCATCAACTCATGAGTCTCCAGATGCCCTGTGGGACATTGTGGGACATTGTGATGAATGAGGCCTCAGAAAATCTCCCTATGTGAGGAAGAATGTTTGTCAGAGCTAGGGACATAATTCCAGAGTCAGTATGAATATATGTATTAAACATTGCTCCAAAACATTATAGGGAAAAATAAGTGTGATCAATATTTATTCCTAAATTCTTTGTCACATTCATATATCACAATCACATTTCTGCAGTTCTACAATGCTGCCATTTGTTGAAATGCAATCCTTTTTAGCTTGAATATATATATTTTCTTTAACCTTTCCTTTATTACTTTGTGCTTATTTCTGTACACTCCATCTGTGGGTTTTTAAAACTATATATGTATAGTTTTATATATATATAGTGATATATATATATATATATCACTTTTTTATATATATAGTGATATATATATTTATATATATATAGTGATATATATGTGTGTGTGTGTATATATATATATATATCTCACTTGCTTGAGCACACAAAAATAAATGCAGCATTTTCATCCACTAACAAGGACTTGATGAGGGAGTTTTCAAAAACCAGAGAGCTCTTTAAGACAATATGTAATTAAAAGGTTGATTATTTAGTACACAGCCCAAGGAACATGGGGATTCTGAGAAGATGGAGATAAATGAGCACAATTTTCCTTTCTTTTCCTAATCCAGGTTGGCTGATTCAAAAAGTTGAACCTGGGAGCCATCCTTTTTACTCCATGTTTGGGAAAACAAGAATGTTATGGATGGGAAAAAAAATAAACAAATGAAGGCCTTTGAAACAAAACAGATCTGGGATTAAGATAATACTTTGACATTTAGCTAGATGGCTTTACACAAGTCAACTAAATGTATTATATCTTTTTAAAATCAGGATAGTGTTCTCTCATATGGTTTATTTAAAGACTGGAGGTAAACATCAAACACTATGTCTCTCATATAGAAGTTACTCAATACATAATAGCTACTAAAATTATTATAATTACTATGTAAGTCAGAAATAAACAAACTTTACCAACTCACAGTAACCTAAACTTTTACTTCTGAATAAAAGTATCTCTTTTCATCATGCACAAAATTTGTACCCATTTTGGAAACACACATGAATCAGGTAAGTTCCATGTCAGACAAAGATATGGTACTAATGGGTTTTTTAATTTATTCTCAGCAATGAAAAAAAAATAATAGAAGTCAGGCAGAATCAATACATTGAGAGTTCTGTGACAGCAATAATTTTTTTGTTCTGGACACTTTTGACAGGGGTATTTTAAATCTTAGTGAGTAGCATCCTTTAGAATTGCTTTTAGATTTCTGTAATGTGAACTGTATTGTAAGGATTCGGAATTTTTTTCCAAGAAAAAGAAGTAACTGTAAACCTGAAGAGATGTTTGACTTCTTGTCAGGTCAGGGGCTTCAAGGGAAGAATGGTGGTTCAGGGACAGAAATACTTGGCTGAAGTCTGCCTTTATATGATTTGAGTTTAATTAAATGAAACTGATGAATTATGCAATAAGGAAATGGCACTATGCTGTCAATGATTTAAAGCCAGAAATCCTTGTGTAGGAAAATGATAAAATTTCTCATAGTAGAAACACAGATATTAAGCCCTAACTTCTGCTCACCAATGTTAGTAAATTTACACAGAGTGATACATATTTTCCCACATTTTTAGGCAGTGAAGACACAGGTGTGCTAGATTTGTCCTAAGTCACCATTATCCCTAAGGATTCATTATTATTCTCCAGATTTTATACATGCACATTTTAAGGCAGGGTTTCCCTCAGATTTCAGAGTCACAGGGTATAAAGCAAAACTTATTTTTATGCCTCAGTGATTTCAATTAAATGGCCCAGCCATCTATGAATGTCCATTCCTCTCTGCCTTGGTGTAAGACAAGGATATGTGCTTAAGTATCACAGAATTCCTGTCCTCTGCTGGGGTGGGAGTAGCAGTCCAGCGAAAGGTGAATCAAAGCAAAAAATGGATGCCCCCTATTGACCGCCCCTGGAACATCTGATCTGTATATTTTACAATGAAAACGAATCTCTATACAAAACAGAAACAGACTCATAGATAAAGAAAACAAACTTATGGTTACAAAAGGTGAAAGGGATGGGGAGAGGGGTAAACTAGGAGTGTGCGATTAACAGATTCAAGCTACTATAAATAAAACAGATAAGCAACAAGGGTTTACTGTATAGTACAGAGAACTATATTCTGTATCTTGGAATATAGTTCAGATATATTCAGTATAATGGAAAATAATCTGAAAATATATATATATATATTGTGAATCAACTGTAATTATAAAAAAAGAGATTTTGTTTCAGTAGCTGAAAAGTGATCTCTAAACACTGTCAGATCATAGTCATGCTAGCTTCTGGGAAAGTTGAGGGGATGAGTTCATGTCAGGGCCAGCTTTCAGAAGCCAGGGAAGTTTAGATGCATGGTTTCTGTGTTTCCAAACGTCTAGAAAGTTGCTCTCCAGCAAGGGTCAGCAAACATGACCTGCAGGTCAAATTTGGCCCACTATCTTTTTTTATAAAGAAAGTTCTTTTCTTTTTTTTTTTTTGGAATTTGCAGGTTATTTGGAAAATCAACAAATGATCACATCTTTCTTCTCCCAAACATTTAAAAAAATCTTACCAATCCATGTTTCTCTCTATTTCAATATAGATAACAGTGGACATTCAGGCTTTGTTATATTCACAAAACATACAGAGTACAAAGCTTAGTAAACACAAAGAACACTGCTTGATTTATTTTCCCTGGTTAAGTGTGATTCGTGTTAAAAATCAAAGCCAAATTCTTATGAAACTATCATAAAATGTGGCCTAGTTCTCTTAAATAACTGCATTTTACAGTTGGCATTTCCATTTGACCTCTGGACCAAGCCAGGAGTGGCTCACGGGCCACTACAAATAAAACTCTAAAAACTAAGGGTAGGATTAAATAAAAACCTCATCCATCTTCTTCAGTCCAGAAACCAATGTGGTATATATTTGTCCTGAGCTAAACCTAGAATGTAACAAATCTCTTATTTGTAATCATAGCACAAACTTAAAAGTCTATAGAAGTGTAAGTAGATTTCCACAAAGATTCCTTCCTAGATGGCATTTTTGATATAATATGTGCTAGTCAAGGTATCATGTATTCCTTTAAGCCTCTACTTCGTTTCTAGTTCACCTGCTGTTCCATGTAAGAGGGATCATTATGCCTCATTTTCATGAAAGCAAGAAGCTAGGCAATATAATATCTTGAGATCATTTTCAGATCTGACAGGAATATGGGAGGCATTCATTGAAAATTAAGCCATGTCCTGGCTATTGTAAATAGAGCTGCAATGAACATTGTGGTACATGACTCATTTTGAATTATGGTTTTCTCAGGGTATATGACCAGTAGTGGGATTGCTGGGTCGTATGGTAGTTCTATTTTTACTTTTTAAAGAACCTCCATACTGTTCTCCATAGCGGCTGTATCAGTTTACATTCCCACCAACGGTGCAAGAGGGTTCCCTTTTCTCCACACCCTCTCCAGCATTTATTGTTTGTAGATTTTTAGATGATGGCCATAGTGGGAAGCAGCCGCAGAGCACATGGAGATCAGCTCCGTGCTTTGTGACCACCTAGAGGGGTGGGATAGGGAGGGTGGGAGGGAGGGAGACGCAAGAGGGAAGAGATATGGGGATATGTGTATATGTATAGCTGATTCACTTTGTTATAAAGCAGAAACTAACACACCATTGTAAAGCAATTATGCTCCAATAAAGATGTTAAAAATAATAAAAAGTAAAGGGAGAATTCTTTCAATAAACAAGCAAAAAAAAAAAAAGAAAAAGAAAATTAAGCCAGTCATCATTTTATTTTCACTCTGCAGAATAGAATATAAAAATTAGCAAATTCTGTATCCTGTTAAATCTCTGGAATTCTATCTGGGAGGTCTTGCTGCTGCCCTAATAAGGGAAAAAAACACATACAAACACACACACACACACACACACACACACACACACACTCTCACATACCCATACACACAATTAAGTTTGCTTACATGATTGATTGGGACTACTGATGTGAACATGTCAGTGTCAGAATTTTCTAATCCAACTTCCTAAAATACCAGTTCTGGCAGCCATGGAGATGTACCACTTGGATCTCCTATTATGAAGAAAGGTTTGTGTTCAGTGGTAAGGAATAATGTTTGCTGACAGCCTCCAGTTATTAACACCTTCAGGATCACCTCAGTTTTCAAGATGCAGCCACATTCTTCTTGGTTAGTCCCCAGACAATTACTGAGCATGGTGGAGACACGAAGACAATGTCATTTTCCTCCAATATGGGACCCTTAAGGAATTTTTGTTCCCGAGCTACCTGTGGTTTGGTGAAGACTAACATCTTCATCACAGTTTGTTGTTCTTTCTGTCCAATCTTACTACTTCTACATATTCCCCATTCATAAACATTACATGTCCAATATAACTCTTGTAATGCTAACTGTGCCTCAGCGTCTACTCCAACTACCTGAAAACACTGATGTTTGATGAGATATTAATATGGTTCTTGAATAAATAGTTCCATGGCCAAACAAGTTGATTCCACATAGATATGCACAAATGTGCATGAACAATATAGAATTTTTGTGGCAATTACACTTGTTTAATGTTGTTTCAATCTGCATTTCTAGACTTGTTTAAGAACATAGTGCTTTCTTACAAATTTTTCTTTCAATGTATCTATTGATTTTAATGTTCTACAGGTTTTGGTATATGTGATATAATGATGTTACAGAAACATTTTTTGATGTTGGAAAGAGGAAAAACTCTGTCCAATCCTTCTTCAAGTCACGTCCTACTCCCAAATTTTGCTTCTTCGAAAGAGTTAATGCAATTGGTAATATTCAATGATGACTACATGGTTCTCTTACTAGAGACCAGGGTCATTCAGAAATTAAAAGTCAGAGGCATAGAAGGTTCTTTCTCTTTCTTCTTTTACCCATACTCTTGTTGACCCTCATTTTTCTCTTGAGCTGTGTAAAGTACTGAGTTAGGATTGGGGTTTATGGTTTAAGGAGGTTTCATCATCCTTTAATCTGGGCTTCAATGAAGGTAGGCATACCAGAGAACTCTTCTGCTTGTGATGGGAGTAGGATTGGTGATAGGAGGACAGAGATCCAGCTAAAAATAATGCTAATTTGCTTTCCTTTGACATTGCCTCTTATTCATCTATCTCCTGATAGACTTTTTGGCCAAGAAGGATTTCAGACATTCCTTATCTCTCTGGCCATCTTCACATCACCAGAACTCACTCTGCATTCTAATACTTGGCCTGGTCAGCTTTGACATTTAGCTGCAGTCTGGATCTTACTCTAAGACATCTTTATTTTTCAACCAACTTTTTCCCGCACTCTTGTACTTATTCATATGGGAATGTTGACCCAGAGCAATAATAAGGGATATACTATGATAAAACTCTCAGTATATTTTATTAAGGGAAATGTGAAACTCAATGATATTTTCTGAGATTTGTATCATGGCTCTGGTGTATAAATCCTGAAAATGAATACTAAGAACAGAGATCTTATTAGAAATTCTTTTAGTACATCAGTATCTTGATTGGTATTTCAAATATGCCACCCCAGGGAAATCTCTATATAAGCTTATGAGATGGAAGGGAATATGAGAGTGACTCTAAAATATCCCTGTAGTCAGTAAATATCAGTTAAAATATTTTTGCATCTCTGTGTATTTGAGAACATCTAGCCCAATTTTCCTGCTGTGGGTACTACATGGTAATGTAATCCTATATAAGGGGTGCTAAGGTAATCCTCATAGACCTTGTAAGGAACCTATTAAGACAATCTTTACAGAGACATTATGCTTGTGATATGTGATATCAAATTAAGAAGTCAGAAAATCTGAATCAATTTCTAGCTCTACCTCATATTATCTATGAGAACTTGAGCTAGTGATTATACTTCTGAAGCTCAGTCTCTTCACTTGTGAAAACAGGAATCACGATGTCCTTATTTCACCATAGGAATGATAAGAACAACCAGATTTGAAAAGATATGGAAATTACTTTTTAAATGGGAAAGCACTATGAAAGTGAGAATGAAAAATCTCAGAATAAACCTTAGACAGAAGTATAAAGGAAGTAAGTTTTTGTTCTGGTCCTCAGATTTCATTGTAGATAGCCCAAACACTCCCTGGTAGTCTAAAATATCTATGGTTGTAGACCAGGTATGGTAAATATAATTCTAAGATGACCCCCGTGATCTCTGCCCTTTGGTAAGTGTCTTGTTTCTAGCCAATAGAATATAACAAAGGGAATGGGATGTAATTCTGTTGACAAAGCCAACAGAAAATATGTTATATGAAAAGGATGATGGTGACAGGACTACATTCCATTGATCTCATATTATACAAAACTCCCTCTATGCTAGTGGCTTTGAAGAAGCAAGTTGCCATGTTATGAAATGCCTATCAAGAATATCAAGTGGCAAGATTGCAGGGGACCTCAGGAGCTGATGGCCTCAGTCCTGCAACCAAAAGCAACTGAATTCTGCCAACAAGCACATGCTCTTGGAACAAGGTCCAGAACCTCAGATGAAACCACAGCGGTGGCCAATATTTTAATTGTAGCCTGCAGAACCCTAAGCGGAGGATCCCCTTAAACCATGTTCAGATTCCTGATCCATGAAAATATGAAGTAATAAATGTCTGTTGTTTTAAATCATAAAGTTTGTGGAAATCTGTTTTGTAGCCATGGAAAACTAATGCACCAGGTTATAGATCTTTCCTTTCACATTAAACTTAAACTGTCTGTTTTTCCAAAGCTAATCTGATTCATGAATTGACACTATGTTAATTGTTCAGTATTCTATTCTTCCTAGTTAATATACATGGATGGTTAATATACATATACAATAACTGTAAATGCTTTAACTTGATGGTTTTTAAAAGGAGTTACTCAGAGCATTAAAAAGATTTCAAGGAGGAGACTCCAGGTTATAGATGGGTGAGCTGATAGAAGAGGAACATGCAAAATAATTCCAGGTCTTGATATCTACTTCTGTGCTACAAATGTAGCAATTCCTTTAGGTGTACAAGTTAGAAATTACTTTTAAAAACAGTTATTCTTATAAAATATTTGAAAATGACCTTCTTAATTCAAAGCATTAATGAATGGTGTGGAGGTTGAGTGAAGGAAGGTGTCATCATAATTCCAGCTGCAAGTGTGTATAGATAATCGATAAGGAAAGAAAGGAGGAAGGGAAGGTAAGAAGGAGAGATTGAAACAATGCATGTAAAAACACTAGGCTCCTAATAGACACTTAAAGTGTTAGCATTTAAAACAATCTATTTTGTATATTTATGGAATTCTATACTGAAATTCATTCTCGTTCATTCTCATAATTTTGAGAAGCAAAAATATTTGTCTTTTTAAGGGGCAAATTGTAACCATATTAGCTCTTTTTTTTTTTAGTTTAAAGGTGCTAAATTCCAAGCATATTAATAATAGCCAATGGATAAAACATGAAATAAAACATGTTCCACTCTGTATACATAAAAAAGAAACCAGTGATAGGTGAATGAACTGTCCAACTTGTGATTCTTTAATGACTGCTCTGTTAGGCTTACACATGTGCTAAGACCAAGTGCCTTGACCACTGAACGCAGCACTCACTGAAAGACATATTCAAAGAGATGTAAATTTCCTTCTAATTCTTTGGGCTAAAGGGTGAATGCATTAGAAAGTTAAAGCAATTGAAGTAGTTCACTTGTACTCACTGAATTGAGACACTTTTAGAAAACAACTAGGTTTTTTTTTTTTTTTCTTGTGGTACGCGGGCCTCTCACTGTTGTGGCTTCTCCTGTTGCGGAGCACAGGCTCCAGACGCGCAGGCTCAGTGGCCATGGCTCATGGGCCCAGCCACTCCGTGGCATGTGAGATCTTCCCGGACCAGGGCACGAACCCGCGTCCCCTGCATCGGCAGGCAGACTCTCAACCACTGCGCCACGAGGGAAGCCCACAACTAGGTTTTAAATGGCAAAATGGAACTCAAGTTTCCATGAACACAGAGAAGCAATTCCTGGCCTGATAGCAGTGCACAAATATAAGGTAGCTCGGGAGATGGGTTGTGCTTTTTAAGTAAGTTCACACTCCAAACTCAGTGAACTCTGAACTCATAACATTTTATATTAGTTACAGGGCTGGAAATAGCAAAGCACTTTAATGTGTCAACTCCTTTTATCTCCAGCATGTCTATCTTGGTTATAACGCAAAGCTAAACACTGGCTTTTATCTAATATACTTGCCAGAATCTTCAACCTTTCCCTTTGACATCCTTGCTATTAAAAAGCCAGGAGCTTCAGCAAGTTGTAGACCTGTGGAAATACATTTTTTGCTATTCAATCAAGTATGGGAAGATTTTAAGATGTACTTGAGATGTACTTAAGCTCCTGAAAAGTAAATAGGGATTTTTTTTCTCTTATAGGCTTCTAAGTCCCAGATTTTATTTCCTATCTTTCCTAACTAAATTTTAAAATAAAACCATGGGAAAATGATTTTTGTCAGTGTTCATCACTGTACAAATTTTAGGAATCATTTAATTGGATCTTGTGTATCACTTGTATAAAAATTTTTATATACAATGTGGTAGGAAGGGAGGATGAAAAGGACAAAAGACTAGTCCAGTTTGACTAGGGAAACTGTATAGGTCACTGAATATGTTCATAACTCATTTTGAATATAAACAATTACATGCTCAATTATTTCTGTCCTAGAAAATCAGTAAGTAAAGGGAATTTCTATACAACATAAAAGTACTGAGTAGCTAGTAAATAACTAAATTAATAGGTTGATATGAGTAATCACATATAATTATGGTGGCCATGAGGATATAATGCTCAGTCATCTCTTTGAGAAAACCTATTGCAGAGAGTTTGTTGGCTGACAGTCTGCAGTTGATGCATCTAGGGATTTCTTGTTAATGCTCCCAGCCAATGATTGAGCACATTTGGGGTACTAGGGCTGGGTTATTTATGCCATCTGCTGAACCCCTCTAAAAAGCAATCTTGTTAGAGACCCACTGTTGTCCTGGATAATATTTTCTCAGATCAGCTGATCTCTTTTACCCTTTTGTGTCAGTAGAAACTCTGTATAAAGAACATGTGTGATTATAATATTGAACTTAAGGTCTAGACCTAAAGTTGTGCTTTTCTAACATTTCATGAAATAAACCTAAAATAGGGACTTCCCTGGCAGTCCAGTGGTTAAGACTTTGTCTTCCAATGCAGGGGGTGCGGGTTCAATCTGTTGGGGAGCTAAGACCACACATGACTCGTGCCAAAAATCTAAAACAACACAGAAGCAATATTGTAACAAATTCAATGAAGTCTTTAAAAATGGTCCACATCAAAAAAAACAAAACAAAAAAAACCCCTAAAATAGTAGCAGAGTTGGTGTTCTGGGCAGCTAATGACTTGGTGGCTGCTTTTATTGTTGTTCTTTGTTCGTTTTTCCTTTTTAATGCATAAATGATAAATCTTAGTATATCCTTAGTGGCAGGGAAACTGGACATGAGCTCAGCTAGGTGCTCTGTGGTGACCTAGATGAGTGGGATGGGGGTGGGTGTGGGAGGGAGGTCCACGAAGGAGGGGATATATGTATACATATAGTGGATTCACTTCTCGGTACAGCAGAAGCTAGCACAACATTGTAAAGCAACTATACTCCAATAAAAAAAATAAAAAAAGAAATAAGAGTGGCTTGGTGGTTCAACTAGAAAATAATATAAAATATTTTCTTACCGACTGTCAGTTCCTTCTGCAGTGTAATGGAGATCCCTGAAATGGATAGTTCTTTACGATACAATATTGGTTAGTCATTTTTCCTATAATCTTACATAGGTCAATGAGTGTCTTCACACTTTTTTTTTTCGGTACGTGGGCCTCTCACTGTTGTGGCCTCTCCAGTTGCGGAGCACAGGCTCTGGACGCGCAGGCCCAGCGGCCATGACTCACGGGCCCAGCCGCTCCGCGGCATGTGGGATCTTCCCGGACCGGGGCACGAACCCGTGTCCCCTGCATCGGCAGGTGGACTCTCAACCACTGCGCCACCAGGGAAGCCCACACACTTTTGATGCTTTAAATGATGATGACTTTCTTCAGAACTAGTATTAGTGGTACTTCTTTGGTGTTTAGGATTGCTTTTCACTTGAAATCAAAAGTGTCATTTATATTTGAACAGTCATTACCATAGTTCTGTTAAACATCATCCCAAAGAATTTTGTACAGATGGCATCTGTTGCATGAATACTAAGCAAAATCATATTGATTTCAGTTGCACTTTGCCTACTAGCATTTGCATCATAAATGTAGAGCTTAGATATCACACAATGCAAAAAGAGTGAACACACTGATGCTTCTGCTCCACCAAATGACAAACTCAACCGCTTCATTTACATTACTTTAGGTCTAGATAACTGAGTTGTTATGTCCTGAGAATATGAATCTCTTCATTTCTTGTGTTTATAGCCTTGAAATTGATATCTTAGATGTGAACAGGAAATTATGCTAATATGGGGTTAAATGATCATTTGTTAACTTGCTGGAATTTTAAGAAGAGGATTTGTTTGTCTATTGCATGTAAGCATGAATCTCCAGGTGTCTAAAACTCATATGTTAAAACTCATAGGTTCTTAAGTCACAGGGCATAGGCTTACCCCAGTGTTGTGACAACATGGCTCATCCCAGAAATTGCTACGTAAGGACAGCTTGCCCACAAAGTAGAATACAGTGATATGATAAATCCCGGAGAGTTTTGGGTTTGATGATGGTCAGAACCTTCACATTTTATTATGTTCATTTTTTATCAGTGTGCACTGTGTACTGAAAAAGAGTTGTAATACTTGAAAATAGGCACTTCTACATCCTTATAGCTTACTATCAGGAATAAGAATTAAGGCAGTCTTCATCAACCTGACTATACTATTTGTTCCAGAAAATCCTTGCTGAGAGATAAGATTACAGACCAGTAAATAATTTCATTAAATGCTTTACAAATTTCCCTTGAGTCTTATGCTTCCTTCAGTGTTCTAGGCCATAGTTTAAAGTTCTCAGGATAAGTTTGTTTTAGTGAGTAGAACAGAGAACCCCATGGTCTGTTTCCCCAGATGTATAGAAGTGGTACGTTGGTTACTCCAAGACACAGTTAAATATAATCTTCAGAAAACCTTGCTCCCATGTGCCTCTGTCAGCAGTGCTGTTGGAAGAAGGAGGCTCACATTCCAAACAGCCAAGGCATCAGTTGTATTTAGACAGCTCAGAAGCCACTTTTCCTGCTGTTTGGGGAATTGCTCATTTGGCTCGCTTCTTGGGGCTTATTGGTCTGGGCTTATTGGTCTCATAGCATTAACTGTTAAATGCCTTGTAGGTATCCTACCACACCCTTAAATATATACAAGTGGAGGGCCCCCCCATGGGATATTAATCACATACACACATAAACAACTTAAATAGCCTGAGAAAGCCCTAAAAGGTATTACCAGTGATAATGGATATGCAAATAGATCCCAGGGACACTTCCAGGGAGCTCTTACAAAGTCAGAGTACTGAAGCACTAAGCCCTCTCCAGCTGTAGACTGAAGAAGGCAATAGGAGAACTCTCACCAGTACCCCACACAACAGTTTTAGGTCAGTATCTTGAATCTGCTCGTGGGCCTATTAGCTCAAGAAGAAGTTACCAGCTTCAGGGTAAGGCTATTTAGTACATGCAATTATTATTCAGAAAAAAACTCCTTTGCATTAAAGAATAATACTAATATCTACCATTTATTGAGCATTTACTGTGAGAAAGGGACTCTTTCTGAATAAGTGCCTTACATTCTTTACCTTATATAAGTACAAAACTAAGCTGGCAATTTTGGTACAATTGTCTCCATTTTATGATCGAAGGCAGTGAGGCTCTCAGAGATCAAATAGTTTTGTAATATCAAAAAATTAGTAAGTGATGACCTGAAATGAGAACCTCATCATTCTGACTCCTGAGTTTTACTTATAACCAATGCATTATACTGATGAAACTGTCTTCTTCAAAGGCATATAGCCCCTGACTAGTGGATTTGGGTCTGTACAAATATGCGGATTTTCATTCATTGCTCAAGTAGCCAATGGCATATATTTTTTCTTGATGGTATTTATTCTGTGAAAAATTTCTCTGGTCCAGAAATACCAACCAACAGAATTATGTTGAATCACACAGTTCCTGACCTCTTAAGCCATGTCTTCTAGCATCTTGTCTATCCTCTCTGAATCTTGACTCTCATTTATTGGCTAGCAAATATATAATCTCCATTTCTCATCTCATGGTCTCTTTCAGTGGATTCCCAATTCTCACTAAGCAATACTAGAATTATTCCTCTAAAATGGACATTTGTCTGTTTCTCACTCAATCTCTATTCCCTCTTCTCTTTCCAAAGTGTAGCCAAATGCTTGTCTTGCAGCCGCTGCTTTTTGCATAGCCTATATATCTTTCAAAGCTGACCTCACTTTCAAGTACAGTTATAGGCTCTGATTATTTTAGCCCAGTCAATACAGGTCATCACCTTGCCTATGTTTAAAGGTGGTTTGAGGGGGAAAATGATTTCAGCTAGTACTCCCAGTTTGAATCCCTTGAAATATTGTTTGATATGCCCTTTGATAAACCCTTTCTTCCTTTGCTGGACATGAATGAGTGAATATATAGCTCTAATCATAGTGGACAGTCATTGCCTATACATAAGATCAGCTCATTTTAGAATAAAAGCTGTTATTTTGGTTTTCAGGCAAGAAAGAGAGAAAAGGACTAGACATTTGATACCATAATTGGGCTTCTGAAGCCATGAACTCTGAGGTGTACCTTAATTGGATCTCTAGTTATAATATCCAGTTAGGCCAAAAAATCCCTTTACTGTTTATGTTAATTTGAGAAGGACCCATATTACATGCAAACATAAGGGGACTAACTGATGTAGAATTTTCAGAATGTGAGGGGTTAACAGAAATGCAGTGTGGAGAACTGTCCAAATTTATCGCAAGCTGGAAAGTTGATGACCCTCCTTAGGTGTTTGTGTAATTGGTTAGATTGTTGCCTTTGTATGTTAGGATGCAAACCATGCCTTTTAAGGGCATAGCATTAAGAGACTGTGAAGAAAATTCATGGGGTTGGAGTGTACTGGTTCCTTTTCCTGGCCTTCAGTGAGTTCCTATAAGCTGAGAAAGTTCAGGCCAAAGGTGAACTACTCATAGAGAGGGGAAAAAAGAAATACTGTTTGCTAAGAAAGGCCTAAGGCCTTTTTTTTTTTTTTTTACTATAGTCTGTAATATTAGTTAATAGATAATGTGATCATTTTGATCCTGCTTGAATTGAAAATTTTTTTCTCCCTCATACTAAATACTGTATACGCAGAATTGGAAAATGGGCTCTTAACAGAGGATATAACTGGAAAAGATAGAGCACTTCTGTCTCAGTATCTCAAGGAAGACTCCTAACATGTAGTTTGAACTAGCTTAATCCACCTCTGAGACATTCTTAACTATGACCAGAAAAATGAAATGCACTGACTGATTTAAATCAACCAGATCTTTTTTTTTTTTTAAAAAAAACAGCTTTGTTAAGGTATAATTGATATACACAAAACTGTATTATTTAATGTACACAATCTGATGAGTTTGGACATACACATACAGCATGAAATCATCACTGAAATCAAAGTAATAGATATATCTATCTCCTCTAAAATTTTCTTATGTCCTGCTGTGGTCTTGTTTGCTTGTTTGGTAATAAGAACACTTTATATGAGACCTATCCTCTGAACAAATATTAAGTTCATGACACAATAAGGTTAACTATAGACAGTATATTGTACAGCCAATTTCAAGAACTTATTGGTCTTGTATAACTAAAACTTTATGCCTATTGGACAACTCCCTATTTCCCCTTCCCCCAGCCTCTGGCAACTGACAATCTACCCTGTGTTTCTATAAGTTTGCCTGTTTTATACACTGCATATATGTGGAATCATGCAGTATTTGTCCTCTGTGACCGGCTTATTTCACATATTCACAATAGCCAAGATATGAAAACAAACTAAATTGATGGATTTTGGATAAAGAAAATATTGAATACACATACAATGGAATATTATTCAGCCTTAAAAAAGAAAGAAATCTTGTCATTTGTGACAACATCAATGAACCTCAGAGACATTATGCCTACTCCACCAGATTTTAACCCCTGGTATTTGGACATACTAGTGGATACTCACTGAACAGCTGGGTATACTTAGATAAGGGAAGGTGGGCGTGAATTATGGCTGTATAATCAACAAATTTCCACCACAGACACCCTCTGTGATTAACCAGCATCCATAAACACCAT